TCAAATATATATATTCTATGTAATATATATATAACAAAAAAAGATAAATAAGAAGGAAGTTCAAATAATTCCCCAAATTACCTATTCTGTTGTTTCAAAAATATTTTAACATACATGCTAGGGGCTGGGGATTTAGCTCAGTGGCACAGCGCCTGCCTGGCAAGCACAAGGTCATGAGTTTGATTCCCCGTACCAGAAAAAAAAAAAAAAAAACATACATGCTAATTTGTTTCTTATACCAGTTTCTCTTAATGCATTGAAGTTTCATTCTATTATGTTTGTTTCTTCTTTGTAAGAACCTTTTTTGTCTATGTCTTATACTCTAACTACTTCAAAAACTATAATACACAGTGTATTAACTATTTTTATTCTCATTACTTCATTATGAAATTTTATTTTTTCACAAAATAAAAAAAAGAACATCAAGATAAACCCAAAGAAACAAGGTATATAGCGCTGAAGTGAATGTATCCCCTACTGACAACATATACATATTACATAAAATACAAAATAAACTGAATATAAAAATGAAACATGAAAAAATAAAATATAAAAATAACTTTATACATAGCTAAACTCATGGGAGTAAAGGGAAAAAAATCTAAGTGGCAGAACACAAAAGATAAACAGTGGAATACAGAGTTGACTCATAAGCCCAAGGAAAGAACAAAGTTATAATCTCAAAATGGGGTGCTGTTTTGAGATACCTACATAAAACATGGCTACTCCATGAGTGCTTCATTCTAGAAAAGAGGATTAAAAGAATTTCATGTACCCACGCAGGAAAATGGCAAAGTTCACTCTTGGTCAAGGGTCTTGGGTAGGCCAAAAAGTTACCTATGAGAAAGTAAAACCACAGATCTGTACTACGGAAGGGAAAAGGGAGTCTGCATTTACATTACTTGTTTTTTGCAACTATCAGGAGTCCCCAAGATTGTCCACACTTCTGTGTCACTAGAAAGACTTACAGGACTTGGCATATAGCTACTCAACAGCTAAGATTTACTAGAGTGAAAGGCTATGAAACAAAACCAGCAAGGGCAAAAAAGCAAAGTCTGGAGAAAACCAGATGCAAGCTTCCAAGAATCTTCTCCCAGTAGTCACATGTATAAACCAACAATTCCAACAATAATTGTGGCCAAGTTCAATAGAGACTAAGATCAAGATTTTAACAGGAAACAACTCATCTAGGTTCTTCTTGTCAACACATACAACATCCTGGATTCTAAGTGTTACTGTCCAGCTGGTGGGTTCTTCTCTCAATTCAGAAAGAATTACAAGACAGAGAGTCAAAAATAGGACTGAGCAAAAGTATTTATTGCAGAGAGAAAGTGCAAAGTAGAATTTATCGTAAAGTGAAAACAGAAAGCATTGAACCTAGGAGGGGACCCAAATGGATTGCCAAAGAGACTCTTTGTCTAGAAGTTTTTAAACACAAAAATGACAGTCTCAGCCAAACTGAGATCAACCAGGGTTACAAGCAGGAAAGTTTGACTTAGAAGTGGGCCTGTAGGACCTCTGGCAATATACCAAGTGTACTTTTGTAAACACCATTAATTGTAACTTTTCTAAAATTAGCAGAACAAAGACAGTCATTAGAAAGGTATGAATAAATATCTTATTCCTGGGCAAGAAAATCCTGTCAATCTAATGAGTCCTTTGTTGACCCTGGCCATGGCCATCATATCCTTCACTGAATCATCCTGACTCCCTCTTCAGGGAGGGAAAGGCTTGGCTTTTCCCTGGCAGTCTGTCATGTCTGTGGAACTCTTTGCTAGAAACCTCCTTTCCATTCCTTTCTCCTCATGGGCCAACATCACTCTGAAAAATCCTCTCATCTCCCCACAGGGCCCCACTCCTTCCAATACACATCATGTGTTGTAGTTTGGGATTTTGCAAGGGGAAATAATACAATACAGGGTACCTAATTATAAGATTGTTTTATAATAGTCACCCAAAGAGTCATATACAAAAAGAGTGCAGGAAATCTGTCCACACACTAAAGACCAACCAAAAAATCCAGCTGAGGGCTGGATCCCATGATAATGTCCTGCATGAGTCCAGCTGAAGACCTAGAATTCATAACAATGCCCACCACTAGTCTAACTGGAGGTCAAGAGCCCACAAAGCCTCATGCAGGCCTGTTTCATGGATCTGCACTGGAAAGACCAGAAGGTCAGCGGTGAAAGCTACAAAGTCTGTGCCAGATGAAGGCTCTGTTCTAGCAGCCTAAGGGATCTTCACTGGAGTGAGGAAGCGATACTCAAAGTGAGGACCAGAGCTCTCCTAAAAAGCACCACAGCTATCCTCAGCAAAGTCCCGAGCTCCTCCCATGATGAGAACAGTCGTGTCCATACCAGGAAAGCCAGTGTAACTAGCTTCTCCAGGACTGAACAGTGCACCAATCTTCCCCTCCCAAGAAAGGAAGCAATGCTCAAAGTAAGGACCAGAGCTCCCCTAAAGTGAAATGTAGCCATTCTTAAGTCCCAAGTTCCTCTGGTGATGAGAACAGCTGCATTCATATCAGGAAAGCTAGCCTGACAAGCTCCGCCAAGAGAACTAACAACAGCCTCTTAACAGCTTCTCATCTTCCTCTCCTGTCTTCCTTTTTATTTTGCTGGCAACAATCCTCAGGTGGACTTCCCACAACTAGCACCACGCTGGTTCAGTTCAGCTGGGTGTTACAAGCTGACTACCTGTTGTCAATCCACAAGTTAGGAAAATGACTCCTCAACCTTAGAAAATGGAACTTAAGCCAAACCATGCCTACACAGAGTCTCATTATTTCTCTGCTTCACTAGGAAAGCAGATGCTCCTCATAAACTACACTGGCTGGCAAACAGTTTAGGTACGGCAAGCCACTCTTAACACATAGGAAATGTTTTATGTCATATCAATGTAGGGAAATGTTCACAAACCAAGTTGCTAGATGTTAGCTGATGACCAACCTTGTAAGTAGGCCTTTTTAAGAATAAGCAGTCTCAGTTTGCTGTGTTAACTCTGTTCTGTACAGAAAACCTACATAGAGAAATTAAGAGAAAAACTGGTGAAAATATTTCCACTTACTAAGTTGTAGCAGGCTCCAGCAGCTCAACAATCCTGCTGCAACCAACAGAAAAGGCTGGATAAATTATATATCACTTTGTAAAGACAGCAGAAAACTGGGAGGGGGAAGAGCTAGGTGGATCTGAGTCACAGAGAAGCCCTTTGGATCCTGGCCTCTTTGAGATTAAATCTATCCATTACTCTGATACCCAAAAAAAGGAAGGTTTCAACAATATCTTTGCCATCTGAGCACATGAACAAGTGTGTAAAATGAAGGGATTGGCCAAATTTTGGGTAAGCCAGCTATGTATTTTCTGTACTTTGTATTTTACTTAGAAGACCTTGAAAAAAAACCAAATCTCAGGCATCCGTCATGTATGAGAATGTGACTGAGTTTCACTAGCAAAGAGTGGGACCAGCTGGCCCCAGCTCTTATAGGCTTGATGCTGGTGGCCTATGGGAACTTGGTTTCTGCAAGGAGTCAGGACAACAAACCAGATGTGATCTCAACATTTGTAGAAGATAGAGTCATAAATACAAGAAGGAGAAACACTACAGAGTATTTTTCAGGGAAAACCCGGTACAAGCTAATAGATGAGGTTGACAATAGTGGATAACAATTTGATCTCCAATACACCTTTTTACTGTGACTGATCATGGGAGGTAGCATGGGAAAATTCACTTGACTCTAATAAATGGAAAATCATTGTACCATAGCTCATCAAGTTCTGAAGTTAAAGCTCATGGATTAAGAGTTACACGAAAATCAAAATTAGGGTTTAACTAACATTTTGGCAGTGATATATATTTATAATATAAACTTGCTAACAAAAATAAGTGATTTGTGTTGTAGTTGTTAACACTTGAATTTTATCCTTTTATGGTCAGAAAACAAGGTTTTTACTGAGGTCTTATTATTTATCAAATTTTTCTTTTTAGTCTACTACATGATTTATTTTTGCACTTGTAAAGAAAATACATTCTCTATTTGTTGATCATGGATCTGCACTGGAAAGACCAAATTTAATGGTTTGAGCTTAGTGATATATTCAGATTTTAGATACCTCTGCCTTTGGCAGCTAGAGGTGGTGACTTGATCAGTTCCTGAAAGTTAAACTCTTCCATTGTAATCAATTTGTACATTTCTTCCCATATCTATCGATTACTGACATATATGTTCATCGTGATTATATAGTACATTATAGTTATATTCCCTGTAAAATATGCCTTGCTATAAAAACCTTCACCCAAAATTCTGTTGTCAGATGTTATGAAGTTTGGTTCATACTTAAATACTTCTTTTAATGCTTTTGTTTTAATCTTTTCTATTACTTTAATGTCTTATAAACATCGTTGGTTTTTTTTTTTTTTTGAGACAGGGTCTCACTTTGTAGTTCAGGGTGGTCTTGAACTCATTATGTAGCCAACGCTGACCTCTAACTCATGCAATCCTCTTTTATCAGTTTCCCAAGTACTTGGATTATAGGCATGTGTCACTGTGCCTGGCTGGGCTACACAGTGAGCTCAAGGGCACAGCAAGACCTTTGTCTCAAAATAAATAGACAGACAGATATATAAAAAGTTGGGGGGTTTTTTGGTTTGCTTTAGACAGGGTCTCACTACATACTTCAGGCTGGACTTGAACTCACTATGTAGCCTGGGCTGGCCTCAAACTTGCAATGATCCTCCTGCTTCAGCCTCCCTCCTGAGTGCTGAGATTACAGACGTGTGCCACCATGTCTGGCATATTTTAATGTTTTTAAAAGTATTTTTATCTTCACTAAATTAATTTGAAGTTTTTGGTATGTCACAATTGTTTTTGTTCTTATGGTGGTTTTCCATTTATTTTTCTTGGACTTACTCATCTTATACCGTTAGTCTACATACACACATATCCTATAACATATTAATAGTCTATAAATGTTTGCTTTATAGCTCAGTTTTATATTACTAACCTCAATTCTGTATTTTTTAGTGTCTCCTAGGTTTGTTCTTTTCATGAGGACTTCCATCAAGAATGGTTCCAATGTGAGTCTTTGTATGGTAAATATTGAGGCCCCACATTCATGGAAACATTTTTCTGTTCTAGTATTTGATGACTTGTCTGAATGTAACATTCTAGGCTGAAGTTCTTTTCTTTTAAAGTAATAGTCCATTATCCTCTTGAACACCATTTTAAAATCTGATGTCAATTTAATTCTTATTCCTTTGTAAATGTTCTTTTTAGCTTTACTACTGTAAATTTCACTGTAATGTATTCATTTTGAGAATTTTACTTACCCCCTCCCTTATATCCTCTGGGCACATTCATTATAGGATATTCTTTTAATTACTGGAAATGTATCCTCAGTCTTCTTTCCAATATTCTATGCTGTTTTCTTTTTACTTCTAGGACCATTAGATGGTGGTACTTTTACTTCCATCCTTCATGTTGCTTAATTTTTTATATATCCTTTTTTATTCTTGGTTGCTGACTTCTAATGACTTTTTTCAATGTAATCTCACAAAAGATAGCTACATTACGTTATAGAAATAAGATGTGGCAAAACATTTACTACTGTAAGAAACATAGACAAAATAATTCAATAGATTACAAGTAAAAGAACAGAATGATATATGCCAGGCAAATAAGTGAAACAAACCATTGTAGTGATACTGATAACAAAACAGAATAAAAAATAAAGCTTTCCTGGACCAGCTGTGATGACAAATGCCTGTAATCCCAGCAGTTTAGATGAGATAGGGTACTGCAAATTCAAGCCCAGCCTGGACAACTTAATGGTTTAGTGAGAACTGGTCCCAAATAAAAATAACAAAATGGAGGCCAAGTACATAGTTTAGTGTGAAATTGTCAGCTCAAACCCCTAGTACTACCAAACAAAACAAAACATTTTTCCAGGGACATAATATACTGACCAAAAGACTGTATATGCATGTAACAATATACAATAGTTCCAAATTATATAGAAAGCCCAAACTAACAAAACTACAGAGAAACTATTAAGTATACAACTATAAGTGGGATTTTAACATATTATACACTTGTCAGAAAATAAATGAAGCAGTTAAAATACATACACACACACATTTATCCAATACTTATTACACAGGAAAGCATACTAATTCATAGAAAAACTTACCCTCAACACTGAGAAAATACATTCTTTTCAAATATAAACTAACCACGTACTAAGACACAAAGAAAACACCAGTATATTCCAAAAAGTTAACATCATACAAACCATGTTTTCAATGTAAGGCAAAAGCAACAAAGAGGCAACTTTGAAAGTCATTTTAAAAAGTCATAATACCAGCAAAATAAATATCTAAGAAATTCTAAGGAAAAAAAAAAATAACGAATTAAAAAAAAAAAAAGACTGAGGATGTAGCTCAGTGGGAAGGCCTCAATTCCCAGGACTAGAGAAGGATGGACAGACAGATAGACACAAATCATCAATGGAGAGTATTCAGTGTTTAGAGAAGCATAGTAAAGTGAATTTTTTGGTGCCGGGAATTGAACTCAGGACCTCATGCTTGCCAGGCAAGTGCTGTGCCACTGGGCTATATCCCTGGCAATAAAGTGATTCTATGGTTTGAATTGTGCCTTTTTCTGTGAGTACTCTTTAGTAGTTTACTGATTACCAGTACTAAAATTACTCTTAATTTTAAAAATGCAGTGGTGATACCTCTTGTTTATTCAACATGAAGTGGCACACACTGAAGAATTTTGTGTCAGTTAACTAAGATAAATTTCATGACCAAACTGTCATTTTGTGCATGACCCTATTTGAGTCTTTTTTTTTTTTTTTTAATAAATAGTTATAATTATCAGAGCCAGGGCTTAACCACCACACTGCATCGTGCAACAGTTTACAAAAACATGAAGTCACAAAAGCACCTCTCTAGTAGCCAGAAAAACATTTCTAATATCCGGAGAAATACGGGCATTAAAACTAAAGTAGTCTTCCGGCTGGCTAGCTTCCTGCCTGGTGGCTCCC